CTTGATAGGTGCAGAAAAAAAGAAAGAACAATGGGAAAAAATAAAGAAAGCTTTATAAACTAGAACAGTTAAATAAAAAGAAGATAGGCACAGAAGTATATCAGAAGATGATTCTTAAAAGAGAAGAATTAAGAGTTTATGGAACAGGAGGATATTCAACAGGGTCTCAAAAGAAAGATATCAGTGGGGGAATAGACCTGGAAAATATTTAATGAGGAAGCTAACGGAAAAGAAATCTAAACACTTTATAGAAGGAGTTAAAGATGGTAAAGGAGAAATGGTGTACTCCACCACTGATATCGCTAATAGGTTCCAAAAATATTATAGCAGGCTGTATGACGTGAGCCCCAGAAACCAAAAAGAAGCAGAGGATGAAAAGAAGTAAAACAGGCAGAAATACTTAAATGAAGTGGAATTGCCAAGATTAGCACAAGAAAAACTAGAGGCCCTAGAGAGATCAATTACCCCGGAGGAAATCACCTTGTTCCTAAAAAATACGGCTGCAGGAAAGGGCTATGGCCCAGATGGATACACTGTGAGATATTTTTACAAATTTAAAGATATCCTTGTCCTGAAAATGTGTGGTTATATGAAAGCAATAGGGGAGGGGCTGGAAATGAGGCAAGAGTCTTTGCAGGCACATATAATGATTATTCTTAAAGAAGGGAAAGATAGCACACAGTGTGCCAGCTATAGGCCCATATCTTTACATTCACACTAACCTGTATGCTAAGGTATTGGCAATCAGAATGAAGGAGCTGATGCCGGAATGGATACACCTGGATAAGGTAGGATACATTCCAGGAAGAGAAGGTAGGGACAATGGTCTGAGATCATTGCTCCTCCTACAAAGGGTAAAAAGGTAAAATTGCCGACATTGTTCCTGTCGATAGATGCCGAAAAGGCTTTCGACAGGGTCAATTGGGGATTTATGTTTGATACATTAGAGGTCTTAGGAAAAGGGCCTAAAATGTTAAGGTGGATAAAAGGGCTTTAAAACAGTCCGTCAGCGGCGGTTAAGGTCAATGGATCCCTCTCTCAGTTCTTTAAAATGTATAACGGTACCAGACAAGGATGCCTACTCTCTCCTTTTGCTATTTGTACTGTCCTTGGAACCTGTCCTGGCGAGGGTAAGAAAGTGTATAGCTATAGCAGGAATAAAAATAGTGGAAGTGGAACATAAGGTGGCAGCATACACGGATGACATGTTGTTTTACATCATAAATCCTACAATAATGTTGCCTAACTTAATGAGATTGTTAAATCAGTACGGCGAGCTGTCAAATTTGAAAATAAATCCTGCAAAATCAAAGATTTTAAACACCAATTTACCAAAATCAGAGGAGCTGAGTCTTCAAAAAGAGCTTCCATTTACTTGGATTTACTTGGAGGGGAAAGGAAATAGGCTACCTGGGAATACAATTAACTCCTTCAATAAAACGCCTATATCAGGCAAATTTTATTCCATTAATGAACAAAATAAAGGATGACCTAAGGAGACTGTCAAAAATTGGAGCTTCCTGGATAGGCTGTATAAATCTGGTAAAGATGGTGATAGTACCAAAAGTCAAAAGTTTCACATGCTCCCAGTACACCTTCCAGCATAATTTTTTGGGATGATACTCAAGTTTATAATCAAAAACTTGTGAGCTGCTAGAACGTTTACTATGTGCCAAACCAAAAATTTTTTTTTTCAAATTAGTAGATTGCCTGAACCTAACACATACCCATATAAATGTGCTTAATTAATTATAAATACCAAAATGTGCCACGCTCCACTGATACCAATAAACATAAATACATAAATAGGTGCTCAAATAACATCTAGTACAGTCCTCTTATAAATAACAAAACAAAAATGTCCATATATAATTTTTCAGAATTCTTGTGTTCTCTCTTAATGCATCTTAATACACCTCCTGTGTTGAAATTCACTTTAAAATTCTTGCACCAACACCGGTTGGGCTCTCACCTCAAATATATGACCAAACCGTTAAGTGAGGTCATGAAAAGCCTGTAAGTGGACCCTTTAAGAGGACCAAATGTGGATGGAATGGTGTCCTGCTGAGTGGGATCCCTTTCACTCCTCTGTTGGCTCTTCTCCCACAGTGGATATGTTAAAAGATTAATCAGATAATAGTGCTTTATCCTTTAAACAACCATTTATTGAAAAAAGGTATTACACTCACATGATCAATGAACAGAAAACACCTTGGAAAAAGGTGTAACCTCCTGAACTTTGGTAGCTGGTGTCAGTATGGAACTATTGAGCATTGTGACATCAAAGCCCCTCCCCTACGCGTTACACCACTGGTCAGGTGGCTTCATCAGATTTGCCCCCTGTTGATGCCACGTGACCGGTGGTGTAACGCATAGGGGAGAGGCTTTGACATCACAACAGAAACAAAGGAATGACTTCCATGGCTTTGTCCACGAGCCTGGAATGAGGAATAGTCATATTATTTTGGGCCTATATTTAAAAAGGGATCAAAATCTTTATCAAGTAATTATAGGCCTGTTAGTTTAACTTCTATATTTGGGAAAATACTGGAGAGTTTAATAAAAGACCAAATAGATGAGTTCTTGGCGGAAAATTTTTTTTTAAGCAACAGGCAGCATGGATTCATGAAAGACAGAAGTTGTCAAACAAATCTGATTTCTTTTTATGAGGAGATGAGCAAAACATTGGACAGAGGGGTGGCAGTGGACTTGGTATACTTGGATTTTGCAAAAGTGTTTGGCACAGTTCCCCACACACAGGTAATGTGTAAGTAAAGTCTACAGGCTTGGAAAAATCGGTATGTTAATGGATAGAAAACTGGCTAAAAGATCGTATTCAGGGAGTAGTGGTTAATGATTCATACTCTGAATGGTCTAGGATTGTTAGTGGTTTACCCCAAGGTTCAGTGTTGGGACCTTTACTTTTTAATATATTTATAAACGATATAGGGTCTGGGATTAAAAATCTAATTTCAGTCTTTGCAGATGACACCAAGCTTTGCAGTGGAATAACATCCTTACAGGATACCTTCAAATTACAAGCCGAGCTCAATGCACTGTTTAATTGGGCAACTATGTGGAAACTGAGGTTTAATGTTGATAAATGTAAGGTTATGCACTTGGGGGCTAAGAATATGCATGCATCATACATACTAGGGGGAGTACAACTGGGGGAATCAATGGTGGAGAAGGATCTGCGGAATCATAAGGTTAATAATAGCATGCAATGCCAAGCTGCGGTTTCTAGAGCGAGCACAATCCTCTCTTGTATTAAAAGAGGTATAGACTCCAGAGAGAGAGAGATATCATTTTACCCCTGTACAAATCATTAGTAAAACCTAATCTGGGATATGCAGTTCAGTTTTGGGCACCAATTCACAAAAAGAACATTGTGGAACTGGAGAAAGTACAGAGAAGGGCGACCAAACTGATAAGAGGCATGGAGGAGCTCAGCTATGAGGAAAGATTAGAGGAACTGAATTTATATTCTCTTGAGATTAAGGGGGACTATGATCAACATGTATAAATACAACAGTGGTTCATATAGTGAACTTGTTGTAGAGTTATTCACCCTGAGGTCATCACAGAGGACAAGGGGGCACTCTTTGTGTCTGGAGGAAAAGAAATTTAATCTCCAAATATGGAAAGGTTTCTTCACAGTAAGAGCTGTAAAAATGTGGAATAGATTCCCTCGAGAGTTGGTTCTGGCCAGCTCAGTGGGCTGCTTTAAAAAAGGCCTGGATTCTTTCCTAGACACACATAATATAACAACTAGATACTAACATTTATAGGTAAAGTTTATCCAGGGAATATCTAGTTGCCTCTCAGAGGGATCAGGAAGGATTTTTTTTCCCCTGCAGGAGCAAATTAGATCATGCTTTGCTGGGGTTTTTTTTACTTCCTTTGCATCAACTGTGGGTATAGGATTATAACTTTTTTTTGGGTTGAACTGGATAGACTTTTGTCTTTTTTCAGCCAGACTAACTATGTAACTCCACTATTCAAAAAAATTAAAGGAACACTTTGAAAACACATCAGATCTCAATGGGGAAAAATATCATGCTGGTTATCTACAGTTAGGTCCATATATATTTGGACATAGGCACAATTTTTGTTTTTTTTCAGGTATTTACCAAAACATATTCAAGATATAGTTATATAATGGAAATGGGCTGAAAGTGCACACTCTCAGATTTAATTTGAGAGTATGTACATCCAAATTGGAGGAAGGGTTTAGGAATTACATCTCTTAAGAATAGCCATCCCTCCTTTTTTAAGGGACCAAAAGTAATTGGACAATTGAATCAAAAGCTGTTTCATGGCCAGGTGTGGGCTACTTTTTCATTATTTCTTCCTTAATTAAGCAGGTAAAATGTCTGGAATTTATTCTAAGTGTGGTATTGGCATTTGGAATCTATTGCTGTGAACCTACATCATGCATTCTAAGGAGCTGTCCATACAAGTGAAACAGGCCATTGTAAGGCTTCCAAAACAAAACAAATCCATCAGAGAGATAGCAGCAACATTATGAGTGGCAAAATCAACAGTCTGGTACATTCTGAGGAAAGAAGAACGCACTGGTGTGCTCAGCAACATAAAAAGACATGGACGTACACAGAAGACAACAGTGATGGATGATCGCAGGATCCTTTCTATGATAAAGAAAAACCCAGTCACAACATCCAGACAAGTGAAGGACACTCTCTAGGAGGTGGGCGTACCATTGTCAAAGTCTACAATCAAGAGAAGACTTCACGAGAGCAAATACAGAGGGTCATCACAAGAAGCAAACCATTCATAAGCCCGAAGAATAGAAAAGTCAGATTAGACTTTGCCAAAAAACATCTAAAAAAGCCAGACCAGTTCTGGAAAAGCATTCTTTGAACGGATGAAACTAAGATTAATCTGTACCAGAATGACGGGAAGAAAAAAGTGTGAAGAAGGCTTGGAACAGCTCATGATCCAAAGCACACAACGTCATCTGTAAAACATGGTGGAGTGTAAGGGATTTCCGGCAAGAAGAATCGCGATCGGAAATGCACATGCACGCAGGAATGCGCAATCGCGCACATGCATGGCGAAGATTCGCGCCAGGCGGCCTATTTAAGGAGTGCCTCTGCTCATGTTCAGTGCTGACTGGTCTTCAGTTCCCCTGTGTCCTGCTTGTTCCTGTGTGATTCCTTTGTTGCTGACCCGACTTGTTCCTCACCTGACTTTGATTGCTCTCCTGATACTGGTTCTTGACTTTGGCTCTGCTCCTGACCTTGGCTTTTCCTTCTGATTCTATACCGTGCTGCCCGACTGTTGATGACCCTGGCTATTCCATGACATTGCTCCTGTCTCTTGTCCTCACTACCTGCCTTGCTCTGGTGCACGCGTGGCAATCTGCAAAACCTGCTCTGCCTACTACTACTGTGCCAAAATCAGAGGATCATCAGCCTTCCAAGGTCTTCATCTGCAAGAGCTGCAAACAACAACTACTGGCACTCTTGTTCCCCTGGGTCCTAGACTCCCTCTGTTCCAACTCCAGCGGGGTCAGGACTAGTGACACAAGTGAGGCCGACCTTGTCATTTCAGTCTCCCATCAGGTACGTCACAGTACCAGTCAGCCAATGATGGAGTCTGAAAGGGAGGCCTCTCCACTGGGGGACATTTGCCAAGCAGTAGCTGCCTTGTTTAACTTGGTGCAAGATCTGCAGAGAAACTTTGAACACCTGGAGAGACAACTGCTAACCGACTCTAATGACCTCACAGACACGGATCTCACTGCAGCCTTAGATGCAACCACTCAAACAGAGTCCAGTATGATCTTTGGAGCCCCTGTCCTACCGGAACCCCGGGTGCCTACGCCTGAGTTTTTTACAGGAGACCGCAGGAAGTTCAGAACGTTTCATAACTCCTGCGAGTTATATTTTTCGCTGCTTACAAGGACCTTTACATCACCAAGCACCAAAGTGGGATTCATCATCACACTTCTTAGGAATGAACCTCAATCCTGGGCACACCACCTTCGTGAGCAACATGATCCAGCTCTAACTTCAGTGGACTCTTTTTTTCACAGCAATGGCACAAATCTATGCTGATCCCTTCCTGCGCCAAACCGCTGAATCTATGCTTAGTAAGCTACAGCAAGGCCAAAGGCCTGTGGAAGAATATGTTATTGATTTCCGCATCTGGAGTTCCGATACTCATTTGGAACGAGTCTGCTCTCCACTATCAGTTCCGTCTTGGTCTTTCTGACAAGGATGAGCTTGCCCGAGTGGGGGTACCAACCAGGCTGGAGAACCTGATAGACCTGACGATCCACATTGACCGTCGGATTCGGGAGAGACAGGATGAGAAAAATAATGGGGAGATTCTGATATGTTCAGAAATAGGGACCCCTGGGCCCTCTACGAATGCTGTTCCATCAGAATTGCCCACTAAGCCATCTAGGAGGAGCTTTTGGAGACCACAGTTATCCGCAGCAGAACGCATTCGACGACAGAAGTCCAACCTCTGCCTCTACTGTGGTGATGCAGGTCATTATATAGTGACATGTCCAATAAGACCTCATAAGCCCTCTCCCAACTGGTTTTATATGATGCATCCCCAAGGAACAAGCCAAAAGCATCTGTCCTTCCCTCTTCAACTACAACTGGCGAAAGGACGATCACGGTCCTGGCCATTATAGACTCAGGTGCTTGTAGTTGTTTTATGGATGCTAACTTCGCTACCCAGAATAAGATTCTGCTCCGTACCAAGGCACAAAAGCTTGCAGTTCATCTTGCAGATATGTCCGGTATCAGTTCTGGCCCTGTGACCCAAGAGACCATGCCAATGTTATGCTACTCCTCCTCGGGACACCAGGAATTTCTGTGTCTGGATATCATAACGTCCCCGATTTTTCCAGTTATTCTCAGCATGCCCTGGCTAAGAGCACACAACCCAACCATCAAATGGTTGTCTGGAGAGATCCTCTTCCCTTCAGAATACTGTTTGAATCACTGTATCCCTAAAGAAACAAGTGCAGCAACTTCTCTTCTCAGTATTCACTCTGATCCTGAGACCATGAAACTCGTTCCTGTTGTGTACCACGAGTATCTGGATGTATTCAATAAAAAGAGCGCCGATACTCTTCCTCCTCATCGTTCCTATGATTGTCCGATTGAGATCCTGCCCAGCGCCGAAATCCCTTTTGGACGAATTTACCCCCCCTATCTGAAGCCGAATTAGAGGTCCTCCGTGGTTATATTAATGAGAGTCTAGAACAGGGGTCTGCAACCTTTAAGACATAAAGAGCCACTTGGACCCGTTTCCGAGAGGGAAAAAAAAGACTGGGAGCCGCAAAACCATTGCAACATTTAAAACAAATCCGACACTGCATATATTGCAAAAAACGCTCTGGTCATGAAGGGGGTTTAAGGGCCCAGTAAGCAAAGGGTTAATCAGGGCCACAGTGTATCGTCATAATCACAATCATAGCCTTAGGTCAGTGGTGGGCAACCTTTTTTTTCGACTGAGCCAAATCTCGCCAAAACCACGATTGAAATTTATTTTGAGAGAAACATTTTTAAAACTGAAAATACATCCCCCATATAGTAATTCATCCCCCATATAGTAATTCATCCCCCATAGTAATTCATCCCCCATAGTAATTCATCCCCCATATAGTAATTCATCCCTCATATAGTAATTCATCCCCCCCTATAGTAATTCATCCCCCATATAGTAATTCATCCCCCATAGTAATTCATCCCCCCTATAGTAATTCATCCCCCCTATAGTAATTCATCCCCCGTAGTAATTCATCCCCCGTAGTAATTCATCCCCCCTATAGTAATTCATCCCCCCCTATAGTAATTCATCCCCCCTATAGTAATTCATCCCCCGTAGTAATTCATCCCCCCTATAGTAATTCATCCCCCCTAATTAGTAATTCATCCCCCCTATAGTAATTCATCCCCCCTATAGTAATTCATCCCCCATATAGTAATTCATCCCCCCTATAGTAATTCATCCCCCATATAGTAATTCATCCCCCATATAGTAATTCATCCCCCATATAGTAATTTATCCCCCCCTATAGTAATTCATCCCCCATAGTAATTCATCCCCCATATAGTAATTCATCCCTCATATAGTAATTCATCCCCCATAGTAATTCATCCCCCCTATAGTAATTCATCCCCCCTATAGTAATTCATCCCTCATATAGTAATTCATCCCCCATAGTAATTCATCCCCCCTATAGTAATTCATCCCCCATATAGTAGTTCATCCCCCATAGTAATTCATCCCCCCTATAGTAATTCATCCCCCCTATAGTAATTCATCCCCCATAGTAATTCATCCCCCCTATAGTAATTCATCCCCCCTATAGTAATTCATCCCCCATAGTAATTCATTCCCCATATTGTGTGAATTCACTTACCTTTGCTCCGCGCGTTCCTCTCGCTGGGTTCCCGCGCCGTTCTGGTCTTCAGGGCGGACTGTGAGAGGAGAGGAGTTCGTCACGCTGCCCCGCCTACATCCGGGCTGCCCCGCCTACATCCTGATAGCCAATGTTTGCCAGCAGCGCCCGGCACACAGAAGATCTGCATTAAAAGAGCCGCGGCTTGCCGACCCTATTGCCTGTCACCTGGTGGGCAGTGTGCTCCGGAGCCGCAGGAAAGGTGAAAAAAAAGAGCCGCATGCGGCTCCGGAGCCGCGGGTTGCCGACACCCTAGAAAAAGGGTTTATTCGGCCTTCTACATCACCAGCAGGAGCTGGCATCTTCTTTGTTGAGAAGAAGGATCACACCCTCAGACCTTGTGTGGACTACCGTGACCTAAACAAGATAACGATCAAGAATCGTTATCCCTTCCTCTAATTCCCGAGTTATTCCAAAGGCTGCAAGGAGCATGTTTCTTCTCAAAACTGGATCTGAGGGGCGCTTACAATCTAGTAAGAATTTGTGAAGGTGACGAATGGAAGACGGCCTTTCGAACCCGATTCGGGCATTTTGAATACTTGGTGATGCCTTTTGGTCTCTGTAATGCCCCAGCAACCTTCCAACATTTCATAAACGATATATTTCGGGACTATTTGGATCTATTCATAATCGTTTACCTGGATGACATCTTAGTTTTCTCCAGTTCAATAGAAAGACATCGGGATCACGTAAAGAAAACTCTGGATAGATTACGCCAACATCACCTTTACGCAAATGCCGAGAAATGTGAATTTGAGAGACAATCTATCCAGTTCCTGGGACTTGTAATCACCCCCGAGGGCATCTCTATGGACCCCCAAAAGGTGTCCTCCGTCTTAGAATGGCTCATTCCAGGAGACAGGAAAGCAGTGCAGCGTTTCGTAGGATTCGCAAATTTCTACAGGAAATTTATCAAAAACTTCTCTGGGATCATTGCAGCAACAACACAGCTCCCCAGGCAGCATATTCCCTTCAAGTGGACTCCTAAGGCCCAAGCAGCCTTTGAGCAATTAAAAACCTTGTTCACCTCCGCTCCTATCCTGAAGCACCCAGACCCTGCTCTAGCCTTTGTCCTCAAAGTAGACGCTTCTAAGAATGCTGTAGGAGCCATCTTGTCACAGAGACAGGGACTCAAATCCCTTTTACACCCTGTTGCATTATTCTCCAGGAAATTAAATGTCTCTGAAAGGAACTATGATGTTGGAGACAGAGAGCTGCTAGCCATCAAGGCAGCAGGTATAGCGCTACTTACTGGAGGGAGCATCCCATCCTATCCTCATCTTTACAGACCATAAGAACCTTGAATATCTGAAAACTGCAAAACGCCTAAGGCCACGACAAGCAAGATGGGCACTATTTTTCTCCCTCTTTGTCTTCCATTTCACGTACTGTCCTGGATCAAAAAACGGTAAACCTGCTGCACTCTCCCGTATATTTCCTGACCCAATCGTACAGTCTGAACCTGACACGATTTTGCCAGCCAAGAATTTCTTACTTCTCCAGACAGACCTCGTAAAACAAATAAGAGAAGTAGTGGATAATCATCCACCCCCTATAGATATGCATGTGCAGCTAAAGGACGGTCTGTATATTCACAAGGAACAAATCTTTGTGCCCGAAGAACTCAGGACTCTTATCCTCAAAAAATGCCACGATCACCCCTTAGCAGGCCACTTCGGGATTCATAAGACTTCAAATTTGATCTCTCGCTCCTTCTGGTGGCCAAACTCAATAAAGGATTGCCAGGACTATGTGAGATCTTGTACAGTCTGCCTTAGAAACAAGTCTGACAAAGCCAAGACCTGGGGCCTGTTGGAATCTTTGCCGTACCAGAAAAACTTTGGAGTATGATCTCCATGGACTTTATTGTGGAACTTCCCCCATCGGAGGGATTCACCACTATTTTTGTAGTGGTTGACGGGCCTGTCA